TGTGAACAAGTGTTTGCTGCCCAGACAAGAGAGAAGGCACATTGCGAATTATATGGACCTGGTCCTTCTGGAGTGTCTTGTGAGAGGAAAGCAGATTAACTGGCCTGCTTTCATTGTCAAGCTGCTGGATAGAGTCATCAATGGCTCCAAGGCTCATGCCACACCTTATGGATTTATATTGACAACTGTCTTGGCCAAGTTAGATGTGCCATTGAAAATGTGGTAGATGGCCTCCAGCAAGGAGCACTTTGGAATCAAAACTCTGTAGGCTTGTGACTATCTGCTAAGTGTAACCCCAGTTGAACCTGGTTCATCCTTGAAGACTCCTGTGAACAACAAAGTTAGGGCATTGGTTCTAGAGTGGGAAATAAAAGATGCAGAAATTGCTAGGCTCCAGGCTCGTATTACTGAACTAGAAAGTGAAAGAAATGTCCTCAAAGCTGAGCTAGCAAAGGAAAAGGAAAAGAGTGAAGGGATGCTCCAAACAATGCTCAATCTTCTTCAATCCCAACCCTCTAGTTCCTCCAAGCCCTAGAACCAGTTTAGAAACTCCCTCAGTGACCCAGATTCGGGACTTTTTCTGGTTTTTTTTTTCACATGGTTGGATGTTTGTTTTTCTTTTTGTGGTCTGTTTTGTAGAAACACTTCCTAATCAATGACAATGTGCTTTGTTTTCTCTTGTTCTATGAAACTTCTGATCTTGATAGCTAAATTTCTTGTGAAGTTGATTATTGATTAACTGAATCATGTTTTCACTTGCAGTTGCCCCAGTGGCCATGAGTAATAATTAACATCTGGGATTCATATAATATGCAACTTTTCGATGATGCCAAAAGGGGGAAGAGATATTGTGCTTTACTTTGTATTCTTAAATAAAGTGATATTTATAACCTGATTAAACCTGGTCCTTAATGATAAGTTAAATTACTGTGTGATAATTAAGCTGAGTTCCACAAGGTCTCTGATCAATAAAAGCACAGAGTTTGTCATCATCAAAAAGGGGGAATTTGTTGGACCAAGTTCAGATGAAGTTTTGAAGATTGACAAAATGAACTTAGTCATGAACCAGGTCCATCATGTGAGACAGACACAGTGTTGATATACTTATACACGTGACATACGTGTGAAGATAAGTCTCAAGGGTCAGCAACAATATCTTCTGAGTTGATCGAAAAGGTTACATAGGATAAGGAGTTGAAATCTCCTTATGTGAAGAGAACTACATCCGGATAAAGAATAAGGATTGGAGTTTGAATTGTTCTAGGACTCGAATTTGATGAAGGATCAGCAATTCGAGTTTTAATCAAACTCTGATTACTAACTCTATAAATAATGATGATTGTTCTCTTTTACGGTGGAGCACACAAACGCAGAAGTGAAACTAAATTGAAAGAGCAAAATAGCAAGGCTTTTTGCAAGCAATTTACGTGAGATTCAAGTGTGCAAACCTAAAGCTACTTGGACAAGATAGAAGAACCAATTCCATTGTGTCTTTCTTTTATTCTAGTTCAATTGTAGTAGGTGTTTTAAAATTGTACCTTTCAGCTTTCATAGAAGCAATTGTATTAGGTACTTTGAGTATTCAAGTTAGAGTTAACTTGAAAGTGTCGCAGCAGTTGAGGCTGTGTGCCACACTGGGATTAGAGTTAATCCTTAGGTTTACAAGAGTTTTGTAAATGCTGTTTTGGCTCAGTGATTTTAGTGGATGTTTGGGAAAATCCTACTGAGTAGTAGGTCGTGGTTTTTTCACCTTTTGAGCCAGGTGTTTTCCACGTAAAAATCTCTGTGTTCTTTATTTTATGCACTCTTAATTCCGCAAGCAGTCTTAATAAGTACATCTAGAAGAACCAGGTTCTTCTAGTGCGAAATTAGGTACCACACAAATTACCCCCCTCTTGTGTGGTATTGACGTCTAGAACATCACATTCTCTTGTTGATTCTGTTGGTTCAGCTGGTCTTGCTGGTTTTGTTGGTTTTGTAGATTTTGTTGGTTGTTGTCGTTAGCGTTTGACATGATTTTTTGACAGAAAAATGAATTTGGAATGCGAGAAGATTATCAGATTCCTGGTAACGGAACCAATTTGTTTAACCAAAAAACAGGAATTTCGGTCAAGCCTATTTTTAGAAATACTCGGGTTACTAATTATCAAGGAAATTGATATTCTTCCGGTAAGAAAGGAAATCAGAATAACAAAGTAATCAATAGAAAGCAGAAGTAAATAATTGTATTCCAATAATAATCAGAACGTGTCCATACAAATGACATTTCTTTTCCTTATATAGTCATCTCTAAGTACACCGTCTTTTTCCTTTTACGATCAAGTCATTATGAGCATTAATGACATTAATGAAACGTTATAATTGGTAATTGCAAATTTTTCGTGAAGATTCTGTAACGTTTGTAATCATTCATGCTGATTAATTGAAGACCAATGAATCTATCCTTTTTATTGTCTTTGTTCTTTCCACCGGTGCCTCTTCAAATCGCTAAAGAGACTCGAGCTACCGTTTCTTCTCGTCTCTTAGACGTTTTGCTCGTACCTATTAAGACTCACATCTTTTTCTAATACTATTCTCTAGCTGTCATTTTTCTAGCGATTCGCATGTCTTGCCATGTCAGCCACATAATCAATTCCACGTGTAATATTTATTTTCCCCAATACAGCAAGTTGATCATAACTTACGTGGATAGTTAAAGAAGAAAGCAACAAATCACGTAATTTCTTAATAAGGTTGATCTTATACAATTTGGATATTAGGTATGGTTGCTAAATTAATGATAGTGTCACTTAGGGGTGTGCATTCGATTTATCGATTCGATAATTACTTATCGATTATCGATTTGTACATATGCTTATCGTTATCGTTTCAATAAGGTTTCGATTATTGATTCGGTTATCGATTACACCAATAAGAAAATTTGCGGGATTCCACGGAAAGTATATCGCTATAAACGTGCCTAACTAATATGGACAAAAAGAAGCTAAAATAAGACGAACACCATTTATAATATAAAAATTGTGTCAACAAGCACATGCAACAAAACTAAAGTAAGGGATCAAATGTATTCCACCAACACTCCAACGGTATAAAAAATAAAAACAAAACAAAATACATCATCACAGCAAATTCTGTTTTCCAATAATTTGAACTTCATTCCCTTGATCTTTAAATATGATCATTCCTTAAATGTGGTAGAGGAAATAATAGGGTAAGGGACTTAGGGTAAAAGAAAAGGTATAGATTAGGGAAAATAATATTGTATAGCCGCTTTCAAAATAGTAGCGGAATATATATACATTCTATATGTTATATTAATCTACACAAATAGGTAATTACTCATTTAACAAGTGTCTACAGTCTAGGGGTGTGCATTCGATTTATCGATTTGATTTTGACCCTTATCGATAATTACTTATCGATTATCGATTTGTACATATGCTTATCGTTATCGTTTCAATAAGATTTCGATTTTTTCAATTTCGATTTCGATAACAAATAATCGATTCGATTTATCGATATACCGATTCGAATGCACACCCCTAGTGTCACTGTCCTCATTACGTAGTACAACCATTATTTGGACCTTATGATTAGAGTTTTGAATGCAAAACTTGAACTTAAAACCTAAATCAAAAGTTGATTTTTTATTTAGAAGTAGAAAAGTAGCTCATATAACTATCACGAAATACTGTATCCTATTGTTCTTATTTTTTTTTAGTTTTAAATTCATCAATGTCACCATTTGTGTTAGTTTGAGTATCCTTATGAATTACTAAAGAACTTGGTTCTTTACCTTACTCCTTATACGTGAAGTAAAATAAGCAGTAAAGTAAAAAACAATAATTTTAAGTGAAAAATCACCCGGCTCAAAAGGTAAAAAAATTACGACGTACTGCGTATGATTTTTAACTTCAACTTCACTAGAACAATGAGCCAAATGTATCGATTACAAGACTGTAACTCAATACTCTCCAGTACTCCTTCTACAACTGTTTGATTTACAAGTTACTATAACATATAAAGCAAACACTCACTCCAACTCACTAATTATTTTTACACTTCGATTACAACTCGATTTTTTAAAACTCATTCACTAGACTGACTCAATAAGAACACAACACTGATACTCGACTAGAGTGTGTAAAATATTGTTCTTCAGTGATGTGCAAAAGGATAATCTCAGCAGCCCAGATGGACAGTATTTTAATGCCTGGACTCCAAGATCTTCTAGGAGTCTTATATGCGTAGTCAGCTTCTCGTTTGACAGGAATCCTACTGTTCTAAGGACTCCACAAGTCTTGGGATTCTTGTTTCACTTATTAATGCGTATCTTCTTGGGAAACAACCCTTTATCATGTGTAGCATCCTTCTCCACCAAACTCGGACCTGGGTAACTTTGAGATAAAGTTACTGAATTGCAAAGACGTACAATGATCAACCATGAGGTCCTGGTCCATAACCTTGAGGAGCTGGTCCTTAACCCTAAGGAGCTGGTTCTTAGAGCAGTCAAGCAGCTACGTTGATGACCTATTTCTTCGAACATTTCATCTGAACAAACTTTGTTAATTTTCAAAATCTCAATACTCAACAGATTCCCCCTTTTTGATGATAACAAATTTTGAATATACTATAAACGGGGAATCTTACCAAATCATGATCAACAAGCACCTCAACGGGCATATCATACCAAAAACAGACATATCCACCCCCACATATTTTGGGGGTTTTCAATGACTGCTGCAACAATATATTGCAGGGTTTCAAACTATCGCAACCTTAAAAATACCACCCCCCCCCCCAAATTAGGCCCTTCTTTTGTAGTGAAAAGAAATAATAAATGTGGTATCATTGAGGAGTGAGAAAGTATTGAAGGACCCCATTGCAAAACCAAAGGGCAAGTTGATTCAAAGATAAGTGGAGACTGTGGAAGAAAAGAAAATAGTGGAAATTAAGATGGTGACGTGAGGGTAGATCCAGAAGATGGTCTTAAGAAGAAGATGATGAAGACTAGAGCTCTAAAAAAGAAGAACGAAGATTCAATGAATGAGGAGACTGAGGAAAGCAAATATATTCATGCTCTACCTTTCCCCCATAAGCCAAGAAGAGAGAAGCTGGACAAACAATTTGAGAATCTTCTAGAAGTGCTCCAGCAGGTGCATGTTAATCTACCTTTCACAGAGGTACTCTCACAAATGCCATCATATGCCATGTTCTTGAGGGAGATATTGTCCAGCAAGCAAAAAGTGGAAGATACTTTGGTTGTCAAGCTCACAGAGCATTGTAGTGCGATTTTGCAAAATAAGCTCCCTCGAAAGCGTGGAAATCTAGGAAGTTTCACTATACCTCGCTCTCTAGGAAGTACAAACTTTGAAAAATCTTTGTTTGATTCAGGTGTTTCTATTAATCTTATGCCCTTGCCTATTTTCAAAAAACTTGAGAAAGAAATTGGAGCAATCAGATCTGCACCTGCGTCTTTGCAGCTGGCGAATCAGGCCATAATAATACCCGAAGGAACAATGAAAGATGTGCAAGTTTAGGTGGATAAATTTGCATTCCTTGTGGACTTCACCGTGGTGAACATAGAAGAGAATAAGTAGGTCCCTCTGATTCTAAGGAGACCCTTCTTGGCTACTAGCAGAGGTATACTAGATATTAAGGAAAGACAACTAATGCTAAGAGTAGGGGAAGAAAGAGTGATGTTCAAAATGAAGGAGGCAATAGGGGAACCTAGAGAGGAGTGGGCTACATACTCTGATTTTAAGATGGATGTCCCTAAGGAGCTAGCTAAAGAGGACAAACATGATAAGTGTGAGTTTTTCCAAAAGAGGTCAAAGAAGAAAATCTCGGCATGGTTATGTGCACTGGGTCAAGCATACAAAGGGCACTCCGACATTGATTCAAACCCAGATTAGATGATTCATGAAAGTTTTCTTTATATCTTGCCTTTTTAATTGTGTGTCACGGGGACATGACACAATTTAAAGTGTGGCATGAAGAATGTAAATATGTATATATGTTTTCTTTGTGTGTATTTTTGTCATTAATATTTGACTTTTCTCAATGACAGATATCCTCGACCGTGTTCTTGAGGGATTAAGGTCGAAACATTAACACAGAAAATCAAAAACTTTAAAAAAATCTAAAAATATATTTTTTCTTTTCTTTATTTTCTTAGGTAGTATAACAATTTCCCCTAGATTTTTCACTTTGTTCCACGGTTCTTTTTCTAGGGTTTTACTTGAACTGGGTGTAGTTAGTTTTTTTAATTAGGAATAGAGAAGTATTGTGCTATAGTGTTAAATGGAGATAACTTGTCTTAACTCTGTTGTGCCTTGAGAGTGGTGAGTGCATTAAATGTGACGCCTAGGTTCATTTCTTGACTCATCTATATGTGCCTTAAATTATTTAATTTTGACATTTCTTAACTACTTTGACTAGAGAGTGCGAATAGATCCGGTCTTGAGTGAGTTATGTGCCAATATGTGAGTGAGGTTATTGTTGATATTATGTGCATGTCAATTGATATCTAGAACTTTTCCAGTGTATTTGCAAAGTGAAATAGCAGTCTTGTTCAGTCTAGAAAGTGATAGATGTATTTCTTTGTTGAGCCAGATATATGCTTCTACCCACCTAATTAATGTGTATCTTAGTTAGCCCCTTTGAGCCTGTAATCCTATTTTTTTTGGCAAACCCACTACAAGCTTGGCCCCTTTGTTTGAATTGACTATTTATTTGAACCTTTTACCTCTCTTGAGAAGTTGAAATTATTATGAACTTGTTAAAAGTTAAGTGGAGGTATGGTTGGATTTTTGAGTGGAGCTGAAAAAAATGAAGAAATGTGCAATGTTTAAAAAGTTGTGAGAACCACCTGTAAGGAATTGAAAAATTAAAAAAAAGTTGTTTTCTTCGAAAAAATATTATAAAAGAGTTTGTGTATATATTGGAAAAGGAGAAAATTAATTCCTTGCTAGTGGTAGTTCTCATCTTGTTTGTGCTTAGAGAAACTGGGAGTTTGATGCTATTATTTTTGTGAAGGATGGGGTTTTGTTCAACACAAGTGTGGGGCTTGAATTGTTATTGTAAATGTATTAAAGTGCTCAGAGATGTGTAGTCACTATTATCCAAATTGTATCCTACCCATCTTGCAACCTACATTACATTCAAATTAAGTCTTACTTGATCATTGACTGAATGAGCTCAATTTAATAGAGTATTACACTACGGGCAAACATATGGTACGTCTATGTGGTATATGAATTTTGTTTCTAAGACTGAGCGAATTCTTTATATCTTGAGTTCCTAATTGTTCTTGAACTTTATTATGTATGGAACTACTCTCTATTATTTGTCTGAGGGCACATGACTTGCGAAGGAAAGGTAATGTCTTTAGCCTCTGTGTTAGAGTAAGTAAGTAGGTTTTGAAAAATACTTGGTTCGTTTGAGTTGAGCCTTGAGGATAGGATGTTATTATAAGGTGCTTAGTCTGCATTAAATAGTCTCGTCATGATGAATAGAAAAGTTGTTTGATAATAAAGTCGTCTCTATTTGAAGTGTAGTTTGTATTGCTCGAGTACGAGCAATAGTCTAAGTGTGGGATTTTGATTGAAGGCTAGGAACTCACATTTTTAGTTATATTCCTCACTCTAATTGCTGCACTTTAGTCATGTTTGAACCTAATTGTTAGTACATTTTACTTATTACGTGTGTTATGCTATGTAGAATGTGATTTCGAGTGGAGAAATAAGTATGGAGCTAAAATGAATGATTTGGAGCTTTGAAGTCTGATTAGAAGCCCAAGAAATTAGGTCAAGATTACGTTCGGGGGTCGAGGACCATATCTGGATATCAAAAAGTGAGGAAAAGAAGATTACTCTAAGAAAACTAGTGCAAAATTTCTGCGGAGTGAAAAAAATAGGCCTCTGAATTTTTTCATTAATGTGGCACATGGTGCGCCGCCCGGGGCGTTGCGGTAGTGTAATTTTTCGTCCAACTTTTCCCACATCGGCTTAGAGGGGGTAGTTTTGTCTGGGGCCATTCCTACATAGTATAAATACACCAAAATATGATTTTTAGATGACTTTTGACCTACGGACGATTGGAAGAGCTTCTGAGACTCTGAGGCACCAAGATTCATCATTCTTTCCTCAACTCAACACTCGAATTTGGATTGAATTAATATTTTTTTATTCTTTAGCGCTATCTATGATGACTTCCTCCATGATTATGGAGTATTTACCTTGGGGTTTGACGGATATTGCATTTTGATTTATGTTTATGGATTTTAACTCTAGTATTTTGCATGAATTCGTTTATGGAGATTTGAATTGATTGCAATTTTGATCATCGAACTATTTAGTTGAAAGAGAAATATTTAGGGTGATGATCTTTGCACTATTTTATTTGGTTTAATTCAGTGATTCTTTTAAGTAATCGAAATAGCTTGTTGAATTGATGATTAAATCAAGTTAGAAGAGTATTAGAGAGACATTTTCCTAAAGACTAGTCCATTAACATGTTCTTGCATATCCTCACAGTGCTTTATATTAGTTTATCTCGTAGAGTTCAAATTTAATCGAGAGAGAAGTCTTGGCAATACAATCAAACTAATCATCGAGTGAATTCGTGAGAATAATTAGAGCATTAGAGTGAATTGAATTAGAGTTAGATCCCGAATAGCGATCTTGCACCTAACCAATCACGCCCCTTATTTCTCCCATTGATTATGTCAATTTTGCTCAAATCTTATCTTTCCGTGATCAATTGTTAATTGTTGTCGTTTTATTTCTTAATTAAGTTCAAACCAAAATGTTAATCATTTTGAATAGCATTTAAGCCAGAAATTACTTGAGCATCATTTAAATCCAATTTTTGTAGAGACGATAATTAAACAATACTTTTATTAGCTAGCGAACATTAATTCCGTGTTGTGTTTTGCGCTCGTCAACTGCCATGACCAAATTAGTATCTGGAAGACAACCATGTCTCGGAAGAAAAAGAAAAAGGAATAATGGGGGGAAAAAGACACGACCATTTTTCCCTCTACCATTTGCTGACTTATTCGTATTATTCTTATGCTAGGGTCATGCTAATATTCACCGTTCTCATTTTATAGGGTGTCCCGGAAAGGACAGTCTCAGCAAAGACACGAGTAACTATTATATGGCATTTAATTTAAAAAATCAACTAATTGTAAGCAAAAAAAATGCTTGTACAGTAACTAGTTGTTGGGTGTTTTAAGCATTAATATGGCTTAAAAGAGGGTAAATGGGAAATGGAGGGAAATGAAATTTTTAAGTGAAATTTTAGGTTCCCCCCCCCCCCCCGACAAAGGGACATTGTCCCATATTGGAAGAGGAAGAGGTTTTTGATGAGTATATAAGCAATTGCTCGTCTTTTAGCTCTTAAAGAGTTGAGAAGAAGGCAAGCCTCGCGCCGTCGTCGTCGTCGCTCGTTCGGCTTGGCTCGTCTTCGGCTTCGGCTTCGGTTAAGATTAATAACAAGCTTAAGGAATTTAATATTTTCTATATTTGTGTTATATTCACTGTTCTGGAGATTAAAACCTTTGTGATTTTCTACTCCATTAGAGATCAAAATCTACGTGATTTTAATGATTGTTTGTGTCATTCTTTTACAGAAATGACTAATGACAACGGAAACCAAGCTGTTCCGATGGTGACCGCCAATGCGTCGACAAGCCGAACACCAGCATTGGCACCGGCGGAAAAACCCAAAAAAAATTCGGGATTGATTTCAAGCGGTGGCAGCAGAAGATGTTCTTCTACTTGACTACTTTAAGTCAACAGAAGTTCATCAAGGAAGATGTTCCTGTTCTGCCTAATGAAACTCCAAAGAATGAACGCTTTCTTGTGATTAAGGCTTGGAAGCATTCTGATTTTCTGTGCAAGAATTATATTCTTAGCGGACTGGAGGACGATCTGTATAACGTCTATAGTAGTGTGGATACGCCAAAAGAATTGTGGACTGCGCTTGAAAAGAAATACAAAACTGAAGATGTCGGGTTGAAGAAATTCGATGCCACTAAATTTTTGGACTACAAAATGATAGATAGCAAGTTTGTTATTACCCAAGTCCGGGAATTGCAAGTGATTATTCACGATCTCCTTGCTGAACGTATAAATCGAATTAATGCTGATGTTGAAAGCAGTAATTTTAGTATTTTTACTAACAGAATTTTTATTGAAGGTCTTGTCATCAATGAAGCATTCCAAGTAGCAGCGATGATTGAGAAGTTGCCTCCTTTGTGGAAGAACTTCAAAAATTACTTGAAACACAAACGCAAGGAGATGTCCCTTGAAGATCTCATTGTTCGGTTGAGAATCGAAGAGGACAACAAAGCTGCTGAAAAGAAAGGCCGTGGAAACTCAACAATAATGGGAGCAAACATTGTTGAGGATACTTCTCAAAATAAGATAAAGAGTAAGCAGGCTTCTAGACCGAAAAGCAACCCAAGCAAGAAGCGGTTCCACGAAAATTGCTACAACTGTGGGAAAGCTGGACGTAAATATACGGAGGCCGT